TGTTTGCTTTATTGTGTGTTATTCATATTACCCTATGTAACATAATCCAGAATTGGACAAAGACACAGTACAAATGTTATTTGATATGGTTTAACACTTACTGGTTCTCTTTCTCAGAACTTGATGGAGAGTTTGGATTCATTGCTTTGTGCAGAAGGTTCTGAAAGTCTGAAGAGTTTATGTCTGAAACTTCTCCTTTGCTTAGTGACCGTGAGTGACCCATCTATATGTTTCTTTGTCAAGTGTATTAATTGGCAGCAGGGGCAAGCTTATTTAAATAATTGAGTCTAAAGTTAGAAAGGAAAAGAGAAAAATAAATTTTCTACTGGGGCATTACATCATCACTTTGTTGTATTTGAATGTGTAGAAGGAAGTTAGTTGCATGGGCTTTCACTTCCTGAAAGTTGCTCTTTGGAGCAAGTACTGCATTTTAACACGCAGGATATGTGATAATTGTCACTTTAGATACATTCCTGGAGAACTCCTCTCTTCTGGATTGTCAGATTTGTCCTTCTCATCAGGTCTCATTTGGAAACAGTTTTTGTGATTCTGAATATTTTTATTTGTTCTGACTTTGACTTTATAGCATGAAGCTTGCCCGTAACTTCTAGTGGGTGGAGAGCATGGTATTGTTCATGTACTTCAGGTGGTTCCCTTTCCCTGCTCAGAGACTTCTGGATCAAAAATTTCTTCCTGTGCATTTGAGGAATGAAACCCAAGAGACTAGTAAGCAAATGCTTGTGTGAGGGTATGAGAGAAACAATGAGAAGTTCAGAGATTTAGGGAGTTTAATTTGTTAAGTTCCTACCCTTTTAGTGTCTATTTAGGCTCTGGTGGCTTCAGGATTGCTTATGAAGGTCTACTAAGTATCTAGTAGATCTTTAATGTTAAATGTTTTAACATTTTTGTTTCTCTTAGATGCTAGGAGAGGAGATAGATATACGAAATATCAGAGTGCCTCAGTGTAGACTTTAAAAAAGTCTTTTATTGCATTTAGGTGACAGATAACATCAGCCAGAACACTATCCTGGAGTATGTAATGATCAACAGCATATTTGAAGCAATTTTACAGGTTGGTCAATTCCCTTGTCACCTTTTTCTCTTTTGGGTAAACCACCTCTTAAAATCTTCTCTGCATTCCTAAGAACTAGGAGTTAGCACTCTTATGCATTTCTGGATCTTGTTACAGATACTGTCCCATCCCCCAAGTCGTAGGGAGCATGGGTATGATGCTGTAGTCCTCTTGGCTTTGCTGGTGAATTACAGAAAATATGAGGTAAGTGGGCCCCTTGATGGACAGTAGTTATCTTTCTATAGTCTTCCTAAATGTGGCCACTCCTACTGGAATTTGCTTAATGTAGAAGATATATTCTTCGTAAATGGAATATAGATTAATCTTGATAAACCAAATTAAAAAAATTCTATATTACATGCATGGGGCAGAAGATATAGCTGTTTAAAGGATTCCTGTGGTGCAAGTTCTAATAAAGTGAGTAAATATCCCTAATGCAGTGGTTTGCTAACCCAGCTTATTATTAGAATCACCTAGGAATGCTTTAAAAAGAAGAAATTTCTGGGCTTTACTCTCAACACACTGAATCAGCATCTCTTGAGGTGGGACCTGGGAATCTGTGTGTGTGTGTTTTTTAAGATCTTTTATTGAATATGATGATTGGCCAGGATTGGAAGCCACTGACCTAATGCATCCGTTTTAAGAGATTGGACTTTTTATATGTTGGATTTGCTTAATGTAGTTCACTTGTATATATAAGTATCACTGTTGGTCTGGGAGTTTTTGTAGATTTTAATGGAAATGGAAGGCAGAGCCTTATCCATATTAATTCTGGAGTTTTCTTTGCCCCTGAATTAACTGGGGACAGATTTACAGGTTTTTGAGTTGAAGGGCAGAACACAGAGATTTCTACTTGAGTTGGTGCGTCTATTTAATTCCTCTCAAAAGGCAGAAGAATACACAGAAAAGGGAGGGGGCCACTTAGGGAAGACCCAGGGCTTCATTGGAGAGAGCTTCGGAGGAATAGGGAGCATTTGGCACTGAGTTCTAGACATTGAGAGTACTTTACTGAACCCAGAAGCTAGGAGCTGCATTAAGGCAGTCTGACTCCCCTAAGAAGTAGCAGTGCTATGAGAAGTGGGCCAGCCAGAGGGAGGATTTTCATTTCTAAATTTCTGAATCTTCACTTAGTGATGTTTGATATGATTCCTAGCCAGGCCGAAAGTGATAGGGAACAAATTCTGGAGCTTATTCTTGTAAAGGGCATATGAAGAAGGAGAGGCTGTGAGAAAGGAATACTTAAAGAGGAACTGGAATATATGGAGCAATGTTAATGTGTTATAAATCCCAGGAGCTGATTACTTTCATTATCTTGGAGGAACTGATGAATGGTGTGTAGAGCTACTAATAAATATGTAATTTATCACCAACACCTGTTTTTCTGGTGATCTGGAGGGGTTGGCATGGTAGCCATTTTGATCTCTGTCATGTGTAATAGCCTCTGGGGCCTTATTACAACAGCAAGAAAAATAGCTGAGGAAAAATGCTAAAGATAGTTAAAGAGAGTTGAGTTATATGTGATAGGAAAGCACCATCATCAGTAATGAATATTTTCAGAACATTCTGCTGGATGCAGGCCATTCTGAGGCAATGGCTTAACTTCTCTAAATGTGAACTGAACCCTAGCTCAGCCCAGTAGGGCTCTTTGAAATGTCAGCCTGAAAAATTGGACATGGCCAAGGAACTGGAGAAAATCATATTTCTGGAGTGAGGCATGCATCTTTTAGTCTGTCAGAAGCCCCAGAAGAATTAATATAGTAGGCAAGGGCAAGCTGGTGGGCATAATTTATCTGAGCTTTGCAGCTTTTGATGTAAGTCACTCACCAGAAACCATTAAGGAAGCCTAGTGACCATGGAGCAGGAAGATTTTTGACAGAAACATGAGGAATTCCAGAGAAACACAGCAAAACCAAAAGCTGGTGAAATTTTATGCAAACTAGTACGAGAGAGTGTATGCTGGGGAGAGCAGCATTCTAGTTACCACTACAATCTACCCCATGACCAATATGGTAAGTTGTAACCTTTCTAGAAAGGTGCACAGGGCACCAGAGAGGCTGGCTGCTCAGCCGAATGAAAAGAAGGCAAATAAGGTGTTAGACTTGAATGGAAGTGATAGAAAAGATGTCATGTAGTAAATGTAAATAGTTCTTTCTTATCTTAAATAATGCATTCCATTTTAGTCAATTCATCTAAAGAGATAGAGGAGGCAAGAAAAAAGGGTCTAGGGAAGTTCGGTGAAAAATAGTAAGTATGGTATGGTTTAGATCAAATAAAGTAGGACCCTATTAGAGTGATCCCATGAAAGCTCACTGAGTTTGTAATTCTATTTTGGAGATGAAAAGTAGATTGCCCCCAGTTTTAAAATGTGACCAGCACAACAGGTGCATAGCGTTAAGGAGAATCAGTGTCTGGCATTAATATCCTGGCCTTCTAGATTGGCCATGTCTCCTGAGATAAAGTGACACAGTCTCCAACTGCTGCCCTGAACATGATATTTCCTAGAAATTATGAAATTGTTTATTATGTCCAGTTGCAAGTTGTTCCTTTTCTTTTTTTCTCTCCTTTTTTTTACTTCCCTAAAGAGCTTCCTTTGTGATAAAAATGTCAAAGGAGAAGAAAATATAGTTACTAATCATTGAGCCCTTACCATATTCTAGATATACTAAGGATTTTACATGTCTTACTTTATTTAAGTCTCACAGCTACCCTAAGGAAGAAGATATTATCTCCATTTTTCAGATGTGGAAATTGAGTCTAATGTTCGTAACTTGTCATAATAAATAGAGGAGCTAGAATTCAAACCCTTGCTTTTAGCCACCTTGCCTTTTCCCTAACTGCTGCTAAAGCATAGGCTTTTCTTGGTAATCAGATGATCTATATTACTACCTACAACTGTGTACTTTTGGGAAAGTGAGTGACTAGGACTTTCAAAAATTATGCCAAGAAAAGTGGCCTTCTCCTTTTAGGAGAAGGTAGCATCTCTAGGTCAGCCTATTGCTGATTTTCTTTTCCAAGGATCCACTTGCATTGGATCTTGTCTGAAGTCTGTAGCACCAGCAGGATTTGACTGTTGATTATAAAAGAGTTGAGAGCTTTCCTCTGTTAGATCAAGTGACAAATGGAGTAAGTTTTACTTCCTTGAATTGTGTTGTAGAAAACCTTATAAGCATTTGGCCTGTTAAGAAAGCAAAGCTTTCTCTTTCTCTATTCCCAATTGACATTCGAAAGATGCCCTCAGAAACTTGATTAAATAAGGTCTGTGTGGGGGGTTAGCCTTTCAGTTGGGTTTCCCTGTTTCTCAGTAATGAGTTTTCTTGGTTGCTGTAAAAACTGCCAGTCTGAGAACTATTGTTCCTTATTTCCCTTGGATTAGAATTGGTGCATGATCTACATGAGGCCTTTCCTTACATCTCATGAGTGGGATGTTTTCAAGGTGACCAGGTCATTGGTTCTTATCCTACCATAGGAAATGGCCCAAATGCTTAATGAGTTTAAATATATGTTCATTTCCATATGCTGCCCAGCTGAGATTGGGTCTGAAAAAACTCAAGATATCTTCCAATGCTATAAGTGATGGGACAGTCATTAAATCCCAGTGTCTTGACCAGATTGTAGTTTGGGTAATTACATCCTTTTTTTTTAGTTCCCCTGCAGTGTTATTTGGGTATTGGATCCATAAATGGCCTCTCTGGCTGTTAAGCAGCTGCCACTTTTACCCCCAAGGTGGCTTTGTTTTACGGGTGGGTGAATCAGTCCTGCATATCATTTGTGGAATGGTTAGGGAGCCTTTGCGATGAGACTGTAACTTAGCAACATATAAATTTGTGCCTATGGCAAAGAAGCTTTTATGTCCCCCAAAAGACAGTTGTCCCTATGGATTCAGTAAATTATTGGCAAGATAGGACAAAGTGAGTTTTGTGCAGTATTCACTTACTTCTTAGAAACAAATAAGAGGGAAAGATGGGGGAAGTGGCAGATATAGGCCTGAGCTGATTTAGCCTAGAAGAAAATGCAGGTAGAATAGAACTTGTATGTGTGTGTCTGTGTGTGTGCGTGTGCTTGGGGAATGCCCATGCACACTGATTTACTGGAAATGGAGAGGGCCCTATAGATGCATTTTTGTTAATATTTTGTTAAATAGTTAATGGGTTCTTAAGTAGGTCACACTCACCTTGAGTCTCCTTTTTTCTTTCAGTCTGTGAATCCTTATATTGTGAAGCTGTCTATTGTGGATGATGAGGCCACTCTTAATGTGAGTATCTGGATCTTTGTGTTTTGTTTTAATTACTTGCATTCTGTGGACTTCTTTCAGTGGATATTTAGAAGAGAAAGCAGAGAGCTATTGTGTTAATTTCATCTGGCTATGAAGAGAGAATTGGTGTTCTTTTTAGAGCATTAATACAACTATCTTAATGTATTCTATCTTCTCATCATGGAAGGAAGGTTTGAGGAGGCATTTGCTTGCTAATCATGATGAAACGGTTATGTTTCATGGTGTAGTGTGCTGAGGTTGACTATCCTGCAGAGTCAATAAGTTACATTTCCAAGAATAAGAAGGCTTAGATGGTGTATCAAATCACCATGATGTACACTTTAAATATCTTCCAATTTTATGTCAGTTATACCTCAATAAAGTTGAAATAATAAAAAGGAACCTTAGTTGGCCAAATGATGGGAGATTACTACTTATAGAACTAGCTATATGATATTTATAAGCCTGACTTGGTAAAGCTAAAACATGAACATATATATATATCTGCTACAATATATCATTGAAAGTTTGGGAAATAACATCTGATTTCTGAATATAGGGAGGAGGAACATGACCAGGTGTCTGACTTTATTCTCTTTCCATTTTGCCCTCTTCATTCTTCTTTATGAATGGGAAGCACATATGATTCATTTTGTTGCCTTATTTTGTGTTGTGCTTAATAGATTCTAGAAGGAAAGTTGATAAGTCATTTTTTCATTTATTGGATGTTTCTTTCCAATTATACTCTTGTTTTCCTGTGGCCTGAAAGAGAATGGCTTGTTTATATGCACCTTCATTTAGCATGGGATACATTGTCACTTTCATTGTGGTTGTTTTAGAGACGTGAGAGTTTTTTGTTTTTGTCTTCTCTTTTGAGGTGAAAATGATCCCAGTAGAATTGTCAGTGATCTGGGCTGGTCTGTTTCATCCCCTATTACTCTATTAAGTAACAATAAGATAATTAGATCAGAAAAATCTCTCCAAAGAAATTCCTTTTGATGTTGTGGGAATGTCTCTCAGAACTTTTGTATTTGTTGCCAAATTTCAGGTAAAACTTCTTGGGCTTGGACCTTGGGGGTGCAATTAGTGTTTTCCTTGGCCTAATCATAGTATCACCACGAGCTCTTTAATTCACCTGTGCTATCTTTTTTTCTTTCTAGGGAATGGGGCTTGTGATTGCTCAGGCTTTATCTGAGTATAACAGGTAAGTCCACTTTCTAGAAGAGAAAGTTCTAATTTTCATTTGAATTTGGTTGAGTAGGAAACAGGTTTATTAGAGTCTTGGGTGAATGAATGTCTCTTACCTATCCTAGAAGAGTACTCAGAGGTACATCTGCTGGTGGATGTATTTGTTCTAGCTTGTCTTGATAGCTTTATCAGGGGTTGTTTCTAACACCAGGGAAAAAGTAGCCATGAGGTTAATGTCCATCTTTTCTTTAAGCAATTAGACACATTCTTTTACAACTTTTGGTATTTTATTGCAGAGCATTTTAACTAGTATTCCAGCCACAAGCACACATTTAGCCCAGTGTATCGTACAGAAATCATTTTCTATGTAAAAAAAGGTTGAAAAGCACTGCTTTTTTGTATGCTTAAAAATTAAGTAAAAGCAAAAAACATACTGAATTAGTTCAACAGTTGACAGATGCTTTTTTTTTCATCAGGAATCAACTACAAATTCCCAGAGTCCCTGTCTGTTCTGGGAGCTCTCTTCATTGATGGTTACTTTTTCTCCTGCTAGGGATGGGGAAGGATCTGGTATTCAGTGAATGGAAACCAGACGTTTTCCTAATCCTGGCAGGGCCAGGCAGGGTCTTTCTTGCTCCTTTCCAGACTTTCCTCATGCACAATTGGGTGTTGGAATTTTAAATCTATCCCATCTCTACAAATAGGTTACTTTTAGCCCACAGATTTCCCTGCTTCTTCCTTCAGAAATAAACAAGAATTTTCATTCTTACAGCCTTGAAGTAATTTCTCTGTCACACTTTTTAACTAATAGTCTGTTTGAGAAATAACTGGATCAGCCATATGTTAGAGCAGTTTCACACTTTTGCAGCTTGCTTTCTAAGTCTCTCCCAGAGTAGCCAGGCATTTTGGTACACACTACCTCAAGAGCAGATGTGTGCCTCTTAACTTGCAGGGGAAACTGCAGGGACTAGGCTGTCAATGCTTTTGTTTTTTGGAGTCAGTGAATTATACTAGTGCCCTGCCTGATTACCTAGAATACCAAGGACAAAGACATATTCGATAAATAATACTAAAGTTGAATTTAGTTATTTTTGTTCAGGCAGTATAAAGACAAGGAAGAAGAACACCAAAGCGGTTTTTTCTCTGCTTTAACAAATATGGTAAGTCTTACTTGTTTTTTCTCTCCTGCTCAGAAATGTAAGAGGTCTGCAGAGATAGGCAAATCTAGGTTAAGAAGTTCAGATGTTTGAGGTGATGGCTTGATGAAGAGAGAGAGGCTGCTCAGAGCAAATTTTTTTGAAAGCTGTATCTCTTAGTGATTTTCAAACCTAAGTGAGATAGGAGAAAGAGCTTAGATTCCTCTGGGATGGATTTTTTCAAATTAATTAATTCAGTTTTTAAGGCCTACAGAAAAAGTACATAAGCTAGACTTTTGCTTTCTGAAGAGTTGGCTCTGTTTGAGGACTTGACCCTATGGAACACAGAATAGGAGGGTTTAGATCTGAATCCAAATGTGAGTGCTCCTTGTCTGTCTGCGGTGGCCAGTCTGTCCCTCATAGCTGGTCCTGGAGTCAAGGGATTGGTGCAGTGGATCTGAATCACCTCTCTGAAGGCCCAATGGGCTGAAAGGGCCATGGTCTAGGAAGGTTATTGGTCTAATTTACAAGATTGCTGAGGAAGCGTTCTCAATTTTGGCATTACAGACGTTTTGGGCTGCATAATCTGGGACTGATTTTTAAGAGATAAATCTAGCAGTTCTTAGAATCTAGGCAGATTCAGAGAATCTGTCTTCTTGGGTATCACTATTCAAGTAAGCAGCCCTAGGTCAAGACAGTTTTTTAATTTATTGCAAGAAACAGCCATCCTTCTTCCCCTTAACAGGCAATTTTTTCCCTAAATGCCTATGCCTTTTCCCCTTCTTTTCTTCTCAGATTCTACTCTCAGGAAGGACTTGATAAGCTCTTTCACTCTGAAGCATAAATAAGTAAAGTCTCTCAGAGGTCAGAGCAGTAGGAGCGTTCTGTATTGATGTTTTGTTAAATGAATTTGTTAAATGCGTAGTTTTGGACATCAGTAAGCAGGTAGAAAGGTATTTTTAGAGGGATGGGCATCTTTCTCAGTGCCTCGGATATCACACATATTGAAGGCAACCTACTGTTTACTTTTTCGGCCGCCCTGCCTAGGACACAAACTAAAGATTTTGTGATCTGGACAATGGGTCTCACATAGACAGTTCTTGGCTGAAACCCAAATATTCCTCCAAAGACAGCTCTGTGTTAGATGAAATCAGCCTGCTTTCTGTGTTGTCTCATGAATTAGTTTTTGAACTTCAAATAAGCAACTTCCAGGGAAGCTGCAGAGTGATGAGGATGTCTAGGGTAACATTTACTTGCTGTCAGCAGTTACTAAACTTAAACATCGAAAAAGAGAGCTGGACAAAAGTACTAAGCCCCTTTCAGGAAAGATAACTCAGTGGAGTTCTCGTTATTTCAGTTATTATGATTCTTTTAAGATCTTCAGAGTAGGCTGGTTTGGGTTGTGTATGTCTGGTGGGCCAGAGTTCCGAGTTCCTTTGGGCTGCAAGTAGCTTGTTTTTTTCACTAATAAAAGGCTTAATAGGCAGAGAGAGCTCTTATATTTTTCTGCTATAAGTCTGTAATTCCCCGTTTCTTCCACAGGTGGGCAGCATGTTCATAGCAGATGCCCATGAAAAAATCTCAGTACAGTAAGTGCCTGACATTCTTGTGTAGTGACTTGAGCTTTAGTGCGGACTCTGTGACTGGATAAGAGTGTGAAATGTTACCTCTTGCTAATCTTTTACAGATTCAGACTTTTTTGGTGACTTGTCAAATATTTCTTGGGTTTTAATAATGGACTCTTAGAAAACTCTACTTTGGTTTTGTATATGGGGCCCCAAGAAGCTGAAAAACTGTTCCCATCTCTCTGGAATGAAATGAGAGAAGGCTGGCTGTCTGAGCCAGTTAAGGACTTAACTGGATTGGGGTGGGAAAATGAGAGTGAAAATAGTGAATAAAGTAGATAAGAACTAAGAAATTAAAGTTAATGCCTTTTACTCTTTCCTTTTTGTCTGTTATACCCTGTACATAAGCCCAACAAGGGAATAAAGGGAGCATTAGAAACTCAGAGGGATTGATAATGAGGAGCTGGGGTGAAATCTTATCTTGATGGCTATTTTGTTTTAACTCCTCCACTATAACAGCCTCTTCAATTTGTTCTCTTTCTCTTTAGAACCAATGAAGCCATCCTTCTGGCACTTTATGAAGCTGTTCATTTAAATCGCAACTTCATCACAGTGTTAGCCCAGGTTGGTTGTATTAAAAACTCCAATCCTTTTTCTCCCTGAATTTCATGCAAATTAACTCCATTGAAAAGCCTTCCTGGCTTTGCCTGTTTAAGCCCTGCTTTGCATTGGTAAGTGGTAGTAACAAAGAGTTGCATCATTTGCCTTTGCTTGTGCTCTCCTCAAGTATGTATGTTTCCATCTGAAGTGGGTCTGATAACATGCAAAGTTAATGGTTTTGACCAGTTTACTGATTCTGTTAACCCAAATGAGCTGAGATTACTTCATTTGGCTCACTGGAAATCCCTTGGCATTATCTGCCCATATGAATTTTTATATCAGGCTTTCTGCTTTCTAAACCATTGTGGAATTACAACTGGAGATAAAATAGGCCAAGTTACATATCTTATTATCTCACCAATTTCCAAAGAAGAAAAGTAAAAAATATCCTGTCCAGTGTAAGGTTAACTGTTAACAGAAGAAATGGTCTACAGATATTGAAAGCATGAAGTCACAATACCAGTGCTGGGTCATTTGCCTAAGGGATATAGCCTCAGTAGTTGGTACAGAAGGAGACTAAAAATACACTGAGAACTCAAGTGCTCCATTGAAATCTGTCTTAAAAAATTGATAAAGCGTTTTCATTTTAAAGCCAGATTGTTTAAAATATGTATGAAGTTTCTTTTAAAGGAGAGTTTTCTTATGCTTTTTTTCTCAAAGGGCAGATGTGTATGGGATCCACTGAGATTGAGTTTAACAACAACAAAAAATGTCATACTTGAAAAGCAGTGTGTTGGTTTGGGGTCTGCTTAGGAGGACATTTATCATTTCACAATTGATAAGAGACTTTATTTACCATTCTCACTGTTTCTTGACTGCTCTCTGAATTCTGTAACTGATATTAAAGAGAGGTAAAGGCTAGTAAAGCTGTTGGGGAGAAGGGAGTAAGTTGCCACTCAGTTTAATTCTCAAGAACTGCTGTGGCAGGGATGGCTAAGGAAGGTCAGGGACAGAGGAGTCATCTTTTTTGGTCCCCACTGGATATCTTCCCCATGTCTTCACCTCTCCACCCCACACACTCTTATTTGTTGTGAAACAGGCAGGCTGCCATCTGCATAGCTCTTTTTATAGTACCTGTTATTCCCTTGGTTCACTTGCATTTATTATCAACTTTGTGGTCATCAGAATAGTCTATAGATGTATTTTAGGTTGATCTGATAAAAGTAGTCCTTTCCAAGGTTTAGATAGGACTGCTAATGCTCCCTTTTTTGTAGCATAATCCTGCATATTTGTTTACTCCAGTGTTTTTTTTGTATGGTTCTGCAGAAATACTTATATAATGGTAACTTAATTGCTTTAAAAAACTAGCCCACAGAACAGTTAGAGTTTAGCAAGCATCCACAGTAATCAGATAGTCATGAGAACTAGATGTAGAAGCGGTCCCCCCTCAGTGAGCTTTCTGTCTTTGAGGCCAGGAATACCAGAAAGGATATTAAGCAGATGGTACTCAGAACTGGATTTTCTCTTTCAGAGTCATCCAGAAATGGGCTTGGTGACAACCCCTGTCAGTCCTGCTCCAACAGCCCCTGCCACACCACTTGGGACCACACCACCCTCCTCCGATGGTAAGCTCACTATCTCTTTCGTTTTGATTCATATGATCTTTTAAGGTGAGCATAGCTGTGTTGAACAAATGACACAGTTGTTTATTCTTTCACATAAGAAATGACCTGAAATACTATCCTTCAGGACTTTTGAAGCTCTAAAGAAAACTTTGGAAAAGATAGTGAAGTGCTTTTCTCTTTGTAAGGAGCTACATAACTCCAGCTTGTCCTCAGGGAATGGTTGTAGAATCATGGAATGCTAAATCTTAAAAGTACCTGAGAGGTCAGTGATGTCTGTCCTGCCAAACTATGAGGATACAAGTATGAGGATACTTGTCCTGCCAAACTATGAGGATACTTGTAAGGCTCAAATGAGATGTGTTATGAATATTTCACTAAGATAAATATAAAATAGTAATGTTATCTCATGTTACCATTTGACAAATGAGGGAATTGAGGCCAGAGAAATAAGTGGTTTGCTTAAGTTTAATGAGAATTGAGATTAAGAATCAAGATATGGATCAGGGCAGGAACCATGTCTATTTTTTTTCACTGTTCTCTGCCCAGCATAGTGCCTAGCATGGGTATTGGTTACTAAATAGTTGTTGAATAAATGCATGAGAAAGTGAGCCTGAGATTTACTCACTGTTATGTGTCAGCTGGCCACTATCAGTTAGAGAATGACAAGCTTTGACTGTATTGTAATTGGGAGTTTGGTGGGTATTTAAGACTTCTCTCCCTGAAAAATAATAAAAAACATTTTTCTTTATAAATCTTGTGGCTGGAACTTAAGGAAAAAGGTAACAGAAGAGAAGTTATGTATCTTGCACAATAAACTTTGTGTCACCTGCATTGGTTCTATTGCAAGCAGAGTGTGTTTGATGGAATACTTTAACCAAAAAATAGTCTTCATTAATACTTGATGTTTTGCCTCAAATGTTAACCTGATTTTTGGTAAAGAAGTACAGAAAATCTAACTTTGATCCTTTCTTTGTGCCTCCCTATTGTCTGTATATGAAGTGATCTTTAATCTGCTTTCTCTCTTAAATTTTCATAATCACACTGTAGCAGTAGCATTTCAAAGTAGTACAAGCAGTATTGGTTAGAAGCATGATAGGGAGGTGCCATTGGTATTCAAGTCTGTGGTAGCAAATTGGATTTGTTTAAAATTGAAAGCCAAATTCCAAAATATCTTAATTAGAAAGAGCAAGTAGTGAGGATTGCCTACTTGTCTCTCTGCTTATTCAGGTCACTGAGTAATCCAATGAAAATACTGTTCTTTCTCTTTAAGGATGAAGCCTGCCTGGTTACCATGGATATCAGAAGCTATATATATATACATATATATATGTATATGTATATCTGAGTTCCATGTGATGTTGGGGTTTGGCTGCTTCAGAGAAACTGCCTTTCAAACTGTTCATTGTGAACACTTCCACCCACACACTTGATTATGCAATGGCAGGATTTGTGCTTGCTTACCTACAACTAGTGAGCTTTTATTTTTTCTAGTGGAGAGATGGAGTCAGCCCACTTTCAATTGACTGTCTCCCTTGACAAAGGCTGCTGGGAAGAATTATGAAGCCAAAGATCAAGGAAAAACTTACTTAGGAAGGAGATTTTAATTTGTGAGGGATTTTATTCTCTCTTATTTTGTTCTTTTTCCTCCTTCTAACTCATTTGTGTTCTGTGGGGGTACTAAATATTATAACCTTGTTTTTAGGTTTTGGTTTGTAATTATAGTGGTGCTCAGCAGCCCAGTTATATTTAAAGGTATGTCACTGGAGCCATTGTTTTTAAAAGCCAGCAGTTTAGCTGTAACATTTGTTCTCAGCTCAGACTTGACATTTGACAACTCAGCCTTGGCATGAGACTTTCTGGTAAACTAAAAATACATATACTGCTGTATCTCTACATATTATGTAAGACAGTTTTCCAGTTATTGTTGTGTGTGAGTGGGAAAAAAAGTCCCACTTACCAGTTAGATGCCTCTCTGTATTAGACTAAGGAATGATGATGGTCTCTGAGTTTCAGAATAGGCTGTTGTTTGAAATGACAGTCTCAGGTCATTTACCCATAACATGAATTCATACCTTTTAGTATTTCAATATAAAAATATGTTCGTCTTTTATTAATTCTTATGGATTGAACTGTGTGAAAGCACCCAAGGTTTGGGCATGCTAATTTCTTCTCATAAGGCTTTTTGCTCTGCTTGCTTTGTATTATAGATCCATAATATGCAAATGTTTCCCATTGTTAATAAATGTTCTCTGCATACATTGTAATAACTCCAGAGAGATCCATTATGGTATCAATACATATAAATAATATCCCAAACTCAGCTGAGAATTCATGAGTTGAAATACAGTAGAAAGCTATAGGTTCTCTAGCTTGTCTGGATGTCCCATCGTGAAGGTCTTTTTACTTATATATGGTGTCTTAATGTAAAAGCACTTAATGAGATGTCTAAGTCTAATTTAAAATCTTAGATACTTGGGAAATCTCCAAAAGGCTGTTCTCTGTGAGTTAGCCCTGGTCTGGTTCCTCAGTGTTCACTGGGACTGTAGCTCAGAAAGTGGGGGCAGTGGTGGGGGTAGTTTCTCTTGGAAACAGCAAGCAGCTGGGTATATAAGACTCAGTTCCCAGACTGTCCCAATCAATAATGTCCACCGATTTTCAGTCTAGTGTTCCTTTTTAGGTTCCCTTTCCTGTGGGGTAAGGAATTAAGGAGTAGAGTTTGAATGTAGTTGTGCCTTAACTTTTTTCTCTTCCATCTTGGGTATTTCTAGTTTAAAGGCTTATTCTCAAAATTGAGCAAGATTTCTCCTTATTAGGAATGAATTGTCATTTATTTTAAGCAGGAGACTCATCCAAGCAAGGCTCATATATATTCAGTACAGATCTTTCTCTTAGGTACAAATCAGAGTGCCTTTAAGAAGGGCGCTGAATGCTTTTGGGTTACTTGGAGCTAGAAAAATCAAAATACCCTTTTTAGGATGTTGAGAGAAAAGCACTGTTCCTGGAGACTGGCCCTTCTAGTTATGAGAGAAGGGCTTCGGGCTTAATCTTGGGAGTAGGAAGGGCTCTAGAGGCCTAGGAAGGCTAGATAAAGTTTTTATGATAAGCACTTGGTCCTCCCTCTATTGTGGATAAAGCTTATTTAGTGATTTTCTTGCCTGCTGGCAAATTGTCTATGTTAGTAGAAGTTGTAGTATAGGCTAATTGCATTTCATTGTTCTATTGCAGTTATAAGTTCTGTGGAACTCCCACTGGATGCAGATGTACAGACCAGTAATCTACTGATAACCTTCTTAAAGTATAGCTCAATTGTCATGCAGGACACCAAAGGTAAGGCATGCTACTATGGGGGCTCAGGAAGCAAGAGGTGTGGCAGGCAGCTATTTATCTAAAATCAAAAGGCAATATTAATACTTTGAAGCTTTGGCAAGATGAACTGTTGTTGGCGCCTCCTGTGCAGGGCAATGGCCTTGATTACTGGAAAACAGTGATTTTTTTCACTGCCAATTGGCAGTTAGGTGGTGTTGGAAAAACCTGGAGCTGGAGGGGGAGTGCTTTGAAATAGAACAGGGAAAAAAAAGGTCTCTACAAAAACTAGCAAGTCGTCTTAGCAGATTTTGGTAAGTAGATGCAAACTCTTTTGTGTAGGAAGTGGGGGGAGTAGCACGTTTCAGGGAATTCCCTTTTGAGGACAAGAACTGAAAGCACCAGCTTATGGTGAGAATTTGAGGACCGTTGTACAGAGTACAGTAGGAAAGGTGAGATTCAGAGAGACTGTGTTCCTTAACACTTAAAATAGAAGTGTCAGTACCTATCCCAGAAATGCAGAGTGGAAAGTTGGAGAAAAATGGATGCTGTAGAAGTTTGAGTTTATCCTGTCTGGTGTCATGTTCTTCCTATTTATGATTTTTCTATGTTCTTTTTTTTTTTTAAATGCCTACAGCACCTGGTCTTCCTAGGTGGTCTCCCATCCAAGTACTAACCAGGCCCGACCCTGCTTAGCTTCCAAGATCAGATGAGATTGGACACGTTCAGGGTGGCATGGCCATAGACTTTTCTATGTTTTTTTAATTGGTGTTAGGGTAGTAGAATACTTGGGTTAGGAGTGAGAAGGGATTGGGAGGAAATCGGCGAATTCTACTGAGTATACATCTCAGGTTTGTTTTTTTAACTCAGTTTTTTTTTTTTTGTACTGGATTAATGAGTGTTCACAGTATTTATTTCTATTATTTTTTTATTGTGATAAAATAGACATAAAATAAAATTTACCATTTTAACCATTTTTAAATATACAGTTTAGTGGCATTAAGTACATTTACATTGTTGGGCAATCATTACTACCCTCTCCTAAATTCTTTTCATCTTGCGAAACCGAAACTCTGTACTCATTAAACACTAACTCCCCATGCTCCATATTTTCCCCTTTCCCTAGCCCTTGGCAACCAACATTCTTCTTTCTGTCTTTATGAATTTGACTACTTTAGGTACCTTATATAAGTGGAATATATCCCAGTTTTAAGATTCTCTGGAAATAAACCTTTTAGGTAGCATTTTTCCTCTCAATTTTTAAAGTGAAAAAATTCCAGTGTACAGAGAAGTTGAAAAGATCATACAGTGATCACTCACGTACCCATTAACATTTTGCCATATTTGATTTGTCTCTAAGTTTCTTTGTGTGTTATTGTTATTTTGGCTGAATTATTTAGAAGTAAGTTGCGGACATCATTCTAATTCACACCTTAAGCACTTTGGCATGTATCTCAAAATGAAGGTTGTTTTCTGAGATATTCATTATTATAGCTAAGACCATCAACAATAATTTTCTAATACCTTATAATATTCAGTTCATATCTAGATTTTCCCAGTTGTCCCCAAAACGTTTTTCATAACTGATAGTTTTTTTTTTTTTTTAACTCCACGTAGCATTTTAGTGAGCATTTTTATTAGCATCTTATTTGATACCTATAGGTTGATCCAGGGGACTTTTCTCATTTAGAAGGATTTTTTTTTCCTAATTACAACAGTAATTAGAATAGTATTTGTTAAAAATTAAAACATTCTAGCAATGGTTAACTTACAAAGTGAAATTCTTTTGGAATTAAGCTCTTTAGAGTTAATCATTCTTAACAATTTGGTGTATAGCCTTCCTTTATACGCCTTCTTTATAAGAATCTTTAAATCCTATTTTAGGAACCAGCTGTTCTCTCTGCTAAGTAGTTGAAGTTTGGGTTCTTAAATTATGGTCTATGGACAAGCTTCAGATTCTCAGATAACAAAAAATTTTGCTTCCACTGTAGAAGCAAAATTGCTAAAGTACTATTACTTTTGCCACTTTACTTTTCATGAGGAGAGACTAATGCTTTGTGAGGTGGTTTACGATTCCCGTAGACATAAAGTATACTTTAGAAGGCTCTGTTTTGCCATGGGCTGAGCAGGTTTCTGGTATGAGGGTTTTCAGGAATTTCAAAATGGAGCTGAAAGGCTGCATACGAGGGTAAGACTAGGATTTGGGGGCTTTTGTAGTGAGACGGAAACATCGGTAGACAGAGATAGAAAATTAAAATGTAAATATGGGAAATGCAGAATTGGCAGAGTTGAAAGGAGCCTGGGTGGGCAGAGTCTGAACCTTTTTATCCTTGGACATACTATATTAGCTCTTGGAGATCCCTACCTTACAAACTTAGACTTTTTGTTATGTATGCCTTGTGAATGTGCTCGAGAGAGAGCTATATACAGGGATGAGGTAGATGCTAGTAGCTCATGTCGCAAACTCCTAACACAGAGCAGTCCATTGGGAGCTGCAGAGATGGTGAACCTCTGAGACTTGGCAAGTAAGATCAGGCTGGCAAAGATAACAAGACTCTTGTGTATCAATGTTTCCTGAGGCCATTGATTTCTCCTTTATGGAAAGGGGTAACCTTTCTTTCTCTCAGCATATTGCAGCAATCACAGAAGATAGAAACTGCATAGATGTGACCCTGAAAATGATCTTTAAGCTTTGCTTGATATAACACAGTGAACTCATTTTTAGCTTTAATGATTATATAAACCTTTTTGTCCTGGTCACTTTGCCATCCATAAAATGGAAAACAAAATTGAGAGCAGGTTAATTGCAGTATGGGTTGCCTCAGGCTGTCTCTCTAAACACAGGCTGGGTTAAGTTTTTGCCAATAGGTAGCCTAAATATGGCAAGGGGCAGGGTTAGGTATGATGAAGGGTTAATTTCAACAATGGCTCCAACGTGGCTTCATTGGCCTGGTTTTCTTCCTGTCTCTTAAGCTCCTGACCTTCTGCATCTCCTGGCTAACAGGATCACATTACGTTTTTAGGAGCAACAGAAGCCACTTCTTCTTGGCCCTACTCCTCACTCCCTACTCCCCAGATATTTTCTTTTCTTTACTTATCATTTGATACCTATAAAATATACTTTTAATATATATGGATATTGTTATAAGGTTTATAGTAAGTATAATAAGTAGCATAAAGTATAATAATAAAATGAACATATGCAAACTTACTACCCAACTTAAGCCATTATTAATGCTGTTGAAGCTACCTGTGTGTCCCCTCCCCAGTCACTCTTTTCCTCCCAACTGTCTAGAATTTTGTGTTTATCATTCCCTTGATTTGTCTCTGATTTCAAAGCCTTTCCTTCCTGAAGTTCTTCTGACTTGAGTATTGTTACCTTAAAGGAGTATCTGCTCAACCTTTAAAATAGATATTAGGCAAACATATTTTAAAAATATATGTATATTTATACATAGACTTTAGGTTGATTCATCAAAGTCTTAACTGTTATGACATCTGGGCAGTATGATCAAATTTGTTTTTTATTGTCCTTTTATGAATTAAAAAATGTCTAAAATGAAATATGCCTTATTTTTGCATTAGAAACTTTTTTTTTAAGCAGCGGGGTAGCTATAGGCTTTTCTGTGAGAGTTGCTTATCAGCTTTTGGGGGAAAAGAGGATAGTGCCAGTGAAACTCTGGCCAGAAGCAGAGGTAGGAGAGTCTCATGAATCTAGATTCACATAGGCAGGAGCATTTCTCTTCCTGTTGCCAGGGGCTCTGATGTAAGCTATGGGGAATGTTAGCTAGGGATTATCATCATTACTCTTTTTTGCACTGCCTGTCTCTGAGGAGAGGTAAATGTATTTCTGGACTATAACCCCCATTATGCTTTTTAATTGTCAGGTTTTAGTTGATAGATTCTGTCTTCGAGGAAGTAGCAGGTTAATGTCAGGGTGAGAACTATTAGCTCACTTCTGTAGCGCTACAATCTGTTAATAGATCTCTCCAGAATGGACTTCAAACTGGGTCCTGTCAAAGCTAATTTGAGATATCATAAACCATTTGCCTATTTTGGATAAGCTGGTATGACTCTATTCTTTCCTCTATTTCACACCCCCTCCCACCGCCCCCAATATACAAAGATCCTGGAAAGTAAATAATCTTTGATGGTTCTGGTAATTGGTGGTAATGGAGTAGCTCTTTCTTGTGTGGGCTTAGAGCCCTGCTATTGAGATTGCCACCTTCTTTTTTAATAATCGAATGTGAGTTTTGGGAGGCCAGGGACCTTTATTTCGGTGCTATATCTCTAGTGCCCAGTGCAGTGCCTGCTCCATAGTAGATACTAAGTAAGTATTTCAGAGTGAATAACTTTCACAGGAAGAAAAATGATCAAGAATTCACAGCTTTCTTGTTCATAAATAATGTGCACAGTGCAAGGAGAAGCATGAGCTGGATCCTGGTCTTCAGTTAATTTCTTTCTGATTCCACTGTCAGTTTGCTATGAATAGTTATAAAACCTTTCTAGATTTTGTGGTAGGTGAGTGTAGATGGTGGTGCTTATAGCTAGTAGATGGAGAGGGGTTGGAAAGGGAATGGACCTGACTGTTCAGAAGCAAAGGGCTGATATGGAAGCAAAGGGCATGACTGATTTGGGCCATGACAGTAGAACTATTACAATAATTAGATGGCTCTCAGGAAGGTAGTTAGCTGTCCATCAGACCACCAGCATATTTAAAAAAATCTTCTGGGGGAATTCTTTTGCCTAGAAGAAAAGCAAGAATTATTCTAGAAGGACCTTGATTTTCATTCATGAATTTTGTGGGGAGAGGAAGTGTGAATATTCTTTTTGATGATACACATCTTTATTCTTTAGAAACATAGCCTGAATGATTTAGAGAGAAGAGTTCACTTTTATTTTACAGATGAGCACCGGCTTCACAGTGGCAAACTCTGTCTGATCATCCTCACATGTATTGCAGAGGTAGGTCTCACCAGTCTTCTTGTGTTAGCTAATTTCTTACAAAGTGCCATCTCTTCCTGCCCTTCTCTCTCAGTTCCTGACTTTTAAGGTCTTAAAGCTAAGAAAGAAAATCTGCCCCCTTTGTATTGTCTGTCTCCTCCCGCTAGAATGCAAACTCTGTTAGCAGGTACTTTGTCTCCTTCACCAGTCTATTCTCAGTGTCTGGCACAAAGTAGAGGCTAAATTAGTATATACTTCATGAATGAATAATGAATTGTGATATGTTATAATTGAGAACTGGAAGATTCTAGCTCTTAATAGTTTTAAACAAGAGACTTAATCCTCTTTAGAAAAAAATAATCCTGCCCCTTTGAAGCTGCTCCTGTTGGGTCTTTTCCATTGTAAAAAATGGAAAAGGAGCTCAA